TTAAAGTTGAGACTGTGTACTTACTTAACCTCAAAGCTTAGCTCCTTCACGAGCACATCACCGTTCGGCGTAACGAGCGGCACCTTTTCGAACCGTATGATATTATCCACGAATGTCAGAATACCCTTGTTGGGGCCGAAGCAATTGTCGCCATTCAAAACGTTATTCACCATTGTGCGTTCGTAACGTCCTTTATTCAGATCACCCAGCACTTTGATTAGCTCGGTCATGCGCGCCGTGAAGCCTTGAAATTAAAGAAAAATTGTTAGATTTTCATGTTCATAACACTAAGTTAGTAATATTATAAAAAAAAAAAAAAAAAAAATTTACCTGCCAAGCGCGACATCTCGCGACCAGCCAAAACTAAACGACCGATAGCTTCGGCTAATTTCACCAACATACGGCCGTATGTGTAGTATGCCTGTGGAAAGTGAATTAAATTCAGGTTAAAGTATTTTAATAAGATTTTGAGAAAGTACTAAAATTCTCGAAGCCACGTCTTATGTTAAAATTAGTATTTCTGACAGAAAAATAAGGTTAAGTTTTTATTATGGACATTTCCACGTCTATTTGGTCTAGGTAATTAGTGTGTTCATAAGTACAACAACAACAAAATCAAGTTGTAATCGATTTTCATTCTTAAGGGAGACTCGATATGTATATTTGTATGGTAGCTACATGATATAGTGATCCAAACTGAACATTATATGCTGAGATTGTGGTGTTACCTAGGATAATAATCTATGCTTATCTTAAAATAAAAAAGTTTTCTATGCAAGCACTTGATTTTGATCGTTTAGCTTGTATGGCAGCTATATCATATAGTGGTCCGATCTGAACAATTTCTTCGGAGATTTTACCCCTGCCATTGATAGCGATCTGTGTCAAATTTCGTGAAAATATTTTGGAAAATTAAAAACTTTTCCTTACAAGCATTTGATTCCGATCGTTCAGTTTGTATGACAGCTATATGCTATAGTGGTTCGCTAACGCTGGATAACGGTTGTGCAGTAGCTTTATGGAGAGAAAAGGACTTATGCAAAATTGCAGAATGTTATCTCAAAAATTGAGAGACATGACAGATATAGTATGTACATAGCTAATTCGACTCTGTTCATGAGGCTGATCTTTTATATATATTTTTTTTTTAAGTTCGCTAAAATTTCCTTCTGGCTGTTCTAAACTTCGTGGCATACCTAATATCTATACACTCTTCAGTGTACATAAAAATACAAACCTGCAAACGTTGACCACTGTGTTCGCCCGACAACAAGGGATGATTGTCCGTGAAGAATGGAATTGATACTGCATAAAAACCGACGATAGAGGCGAAATCTGGGAGAATAACAAAAATTTACGAAATGCGTATGAGCGCCATAAATTTAAAACCAAAACAAATGCAGTTATAAAATAACGCATACTTACATTTGCCCACAATATTATCGACAATACCCATGCTAACGCGGAATTCCAAGAATTTGCGTAGATGTGTGCGTAATTTCGAATAACTGGCCAGTAGCGTGAGCTTCTCCCGTGTGTTGCCCTGATAGAAGGCCACCTCCTCGGAGTTCGTGATCAAACGGCTATTAACATAACGGAATTCACCTTCCAGCTTTTGCTCCTCAACCGTTAGACGACCGGTTGGGCGACGCAAGCGTGTGAGCACAATGCCAGCGAAAAGCAAATACAACATAAGTATTGAAGGCGTCTGTGAAAGAGAGAGAAAGAGAAAAAAATTTATATAAATATATCCATCTCTAGTGGTAGTTAAGGAGTATACGCGCTCACCTTGCCACCCAGATTGACCGTTAAGCGATAGACATAGATAAATATGTCCAGCACGGGCTTACTGATATTCGAATACAGATCTGTGGCGCTTTCACAGAACTTATCGATGTCTGTGGTAAGTAATTGATCGGCATTCGCTATTCGGTTATCCAAATTGGACATTTTATAGTAAGTGTAACCGCTGTAAGGAGTGGAGAGGAGGGGTAGTGATTTAATCGCTTGCATTAGCGCAATTGTAAGTGAAATGTAATTACCTCAGATACTGATTGTACAGATGATGTGTCAAATTGGTGCGGAAACGCAATTTTAATTCACCCAAACTCCATTTCAGCACATTTGTGACAACCGATATCTGTCGATTGAGTAAGAAATAAGTGTAATAATATTTTCAATTTTCATTTGTATCACTCACCATTGGCAGAGCGGCCAAATACTTGAGCAGCGCGGATTTGAATTTATCTTTATTCATGTGTATGATCGTGCTCTCCACCACAGTGGCATTCTGTATCATCCAAATATCACTGACAGAGCGACCGATCAGCGAAGCGGCCACCAATAACAACAAACCGCTTTCAACACTCCAGAAGCGGGGCACGAGTATGGCTGAAATATAAAAGGGATTTTATTTAATCGAATTATTAATCTAAAATAATGGTATAGTGTGTTTAAAAAATTAAAATTACATCATGTTTACGCCACAAAATTTTTGTTAATATGAAAATGTTCAAAAAACCAATTATCATCAACAAAACTACAGAGTGTGGCATAAAAATAGTTTAAAGCTTAAGGTTAGAACGACTTAATTATTAGTAAAGGGTGAACTAAATATTTCAATTTTTTTGATCCTGCTGGAGAATGGTTTAGATTTGTTTAAGACAGGTTGACCGCTGTCTCGCTGGATTTTAAAGGGTGATTTATTTCGAGGTTCTACTACCTTTTTTTAAAGAAAAAAACACAGAAACTTCAAATTAAATATGGAATCTTTCAAAAGAACAGGCACTTATTATTTGAAGATTATCCCTTTCATATGCTGGCCACAGCTACGTCTGAGATTATCCATCTGTTGAGCGCAATTTTCAATGACTCATTTGAACATATCGAATGATGGCGTGATGTTTTGCTTCACGACCAGTATCGAAGCGGGATTGTCCACATGGATTTTACACATACCCCCAGGAAAAAGTCTAACTACCGTTATATCACAAGATCTTGATGGCCAATCAATCGGTCCCAAACGAATTGTTCTCTCAAAAAATCCATTGTACGATGAAGCGATGTGTTGGAACTGGCGCCGTCTTGTTGAAATCAAAAGTCGCCGAGAACAGGAGCTTCAATTTTAGGCACCAAACAGTCGGTTAACATGGCGCGATAAGGGTTGCCATTAACGGTTACGTTCTCACCGGCATCAGTTTTGACGAGTTGTGGACCGATGATTCCATCGGCCTACAAACCACAACAAACCGTTTTGTTTGGATAAATTGACAGCTCTTTAATCACTTCAGGTTGCTCTTCGTCTCAAATGCGCTAATTTTGCTTGTTCACATACCCATTCACCCAGAAATGGGCCTAATCGCTGAAAAAATTTGGCTCAAAAACGTCAAATCTTTTCGCAAGTTTTAAAGAGCGGCTTCAGTTCGGGCACAAGCTGTATTTTGTACTTTTTTTTTTAAATACGCCAAGTCCTTCAATACGTCAGTCCGAGTTGTTGCGAACTGCGACGAATCGACTCTATACGGTCTTCGTGTGCACTCTAAGCTACGGCTGCTTAATGGACGTGATGTATTTGGATCTAAAGATGGGTGATGATGTAGCGAATAGTACGCCCAGTAGGCCGATTATGTTGACCATAAGTGGAATGAAGCGCGCGAAACACATTATTTACAGAAAGTGAATTGTCGTAATAAAGTTGAACGACTTGTAAACGTTCTTTAGGTGGAATTCTTTCCATTAAATATCAGACAAAAGTAACATGACAGCTTGACACGACTCGAACGTGATCTGTCAAAAAAAGGCTATTGAAAAAATGTACCTCTACTTGGATCACCCGTTATTGGTTGAACTGAGTCCGAGGGGTTATTACCCTATCACAACCCATACTATATACACCACAGTTTATAAACCAAAAAAATTTTAATTTTTCGTCGAAAGTCACTCTCTACATCTTAATATTCGTTCGAAACTTATATCAGCACCTCTGCAATATACTATTTGATCAATAAGATTTTTCCGTTTCAATAAGATTTTTCCAGTGCTAATGACGATAAAATCGAAAAAACTAAAGAAACGGCGCTTAAAAATCATTTTGTTGGCATCGGAGAGATTAACATGTCTTTGGGATCGACTCCTCACATGTTGGTTTATGTTTTGGGTATGAAGCGTTTTAATGCTAGACCCGTATCATAAGAGCTGAATATTTTGCAAAAGCGACGGCGAGTAGAGGTGATGCTTGACAAAGTAGCTGAAGACTGTAAATTCATCAAACGCATTATTACTGCTGAGAAGTGACGTTGGTTTATGAAATTGCACAACAAAAAAAAAACCGAGGTATATAACAAGTTATGAAAAATTTGGCACAGAAGAAAATTTTATCAGTCCGAATCAATTTTGATCAGATGTTAAGTTCTCCCAGAGACGCCGAGAACTATTCGAGCATTGAGCCAATCCGTTTCATATATAATATTTAGCACACAACTGCACAGTTTAGCACACTTCAAAACTTACAAAAACCCACATTGGAAAGTACGGCACAAGTAAGACTCAAGGCCGCAGCCGCTGAAGATACTTTTCGACGCTAATAACGGACGCATTCAAAGACGAAACCGGCCTCAGCAACAATGCTTTTCAATTGAACATTCACTTTGGAAAACTTTTCAAAATAAATGAGTTAAGTTCTCAAATTTAATTTGTTGTAAAAAATTTTTTTGTTTAAGAGAAAAAATTAAAAAAAAATTTACTTATTTCTAATAAAAACTTTGTAATTTTACTTTTAGGAAAGCAATCAAAATTACAGTGAGTACCCTTAAAAATACCCGAAATTATGTCATAAAACCGCTGGTTATCCTCTTCATCATTCGCAGAGAATAAACAGTCGAAATGACAGTCACAGCAGCCATTGTCATCGCGGCGCTCTTTCAAATTGTACTGCGCACCTCCTTCTTCTTCGAACAGGAGAAGGGCCTCTGCTCGCCGGCGCCCTCACTAGCCAGTTGGATATTCCTCATTGCGCTATTGGATCTCATCTCGGATCTATGCCTCTATCCGGTACGTTACATGCATTTGCCGTACTTCTGTCAGGTGATCGTCGAGACCATTGTCACTATTTTGTTAACGGAATTCGGCGCCATAATCGTCTGGTGCACGCTGGAGAAACTCTTTTGGCGGCTTATCAAATCATTCCTCTTGATCATGGGCATGTCCACCAAAACTTATGTCAACTATGAATCACTCATACTGGGTCTGACCACCACCTCGATCAGTTTGGGCATATTGGCGTTTGTCGGTCAGGCGACCGATCACTTTCACTTGATACGTAAGAAATATCAACGTATTGAGCGCAAGGTTACTTTGAACATGGAAATGTTCTGGGATTATGTGAACGGCTGCAATGGCTCACATAGACGTTGCAAACCCATGTACGATTGCTCATTGGAAGATTTCGTGGAGAACTGTTGTCCGAAGCGGCGACGAAAACGCCGAAGATGTTGAAAATTTATACAAGCCTTTCTGATTTGGAATACTTCGGCTGTCTGTCTATGCGTTCCAGCAAAGTGTTTTGTGGCATCGTGTGCGAGCTTTGTATGTGTTTGTGTATAATATTTGTCCCTGATGTGTCCCTGAATGTACTCGTATGTAACAGTTAGCATGTGCTTGACCCGAAAGGTTAATAATAAAATGCAGTGTAATTTTCATTGTCTCTTTTATTATTGTTGTTGTTTTTGTTGCGGAATAATGCACAGTTGGCGAAACAAATACAGGAAAAGCCACACAATTCGGAGTGTCTGTGTAATTATCCTATTAAGCCATACATATATATATAGCTATGTAGAATGGAACTTTTAGCTTCGACTACACTTTGGAAGCTTGAGTTCAATATAATTATATCCCTGAATCTCTTTACGACACAAAGCTCGGAATAAAAATAAAGGTATATAAAAAGTTCAATTCCGTTAACTTGAAAGTCAATATTGTTTTGACCCACAGGCACCATCTGACCCCACTTCTTCGAATTTTGCAGACCACGAGAGTTCGTCGACATCCACTTCCTATAGACGCTCGAACGAATTAATCGAAGTCGTAATGTTTTTCAGAAACCTACAAAAAATCGCATTATGGGCCCGATTTGGTACTAAGGGATTATAAAGGATGATCCGCGTGATGCATTTTCAATACCCTTTTTTTTGACAGATCACGCGTGAGTGTGAAGGTTGGAGGCGTATGTAGAAGTTCACACAAGTGAGGATAGTTCTCTGAGCGCCATTCACTTGGGAGTGGCCAGAAACGATTCTTTTACATATGACTCAGGCAGCTCACGAATTCCGGTCTGAGACCAGGTAGCCAAAAAACATCCGTTTGAAGGCGAGCTAAAGTGAGAAGGCGAAACATTCCTCGACAGGGTTGTGCGCTGGGCTTGAGACCCGCCACGTAAAAAGACACCTTCCATGAAAAGAACAAAACAGCCTCAGATGAGAGGACCCCCCTTTTCTGATGACGACCAATGCTATCGTACTAAAGATTAAGACTTAAGGGCATGCATCTGGAACGTCCGGTCCCTTAATTGGGAAGGTACCGCTGCCCAGCTGGTTGGTGTCCTCTAGAAAATAAAGGCTGACATCACCGTCGTCCAAGAAATGCGATGGACGGGACAAGGACTGAGACGAGTAGGTCCTTGTGGCATTTACTACAGTGGCCATACAAAGGAGCGCAAATTTGGTGTGGGATTCGTGGTGGGATACAGACTCCGTCGCCGAGTACTATCATTCACACCGGTGAGTGAACGTCTAGCCATAATCCGCATCAAATTGAAGTTTTTCAACATGTCACTGATTTGCGACCACTTCCTGATAGTAGAGAAGGACAAAGTGTCCAAAGATGTCTTCTATGTGAGCTAGGAGCGCCCCTATGAGAGCTTCCCCAGCCACGATGTCAAAATCGTGCAGGGCGGGCAAAGAAAGTATCTTCATCCCATACCCAAATGGGTTGAGGTTGATCAAATTCGGCAGGGCTCGAAATATGGTTATTTGTAGTTCTAGATGATAGCATAGCTATGTACCTAGCTATCTCCGGAAGAAAACTCACTAACTTTGGCAAGTTGGTCGTTAGGGGTAATGCTCGAAATCAAAACCGGAGCATACTCTCGTAGCATCACCATAGCGTATGACCACTGCATACTAAAATTATGGAGAGAACACTTCTCCAACCTGGTGAAAGCATAACGCCAGAAAAAGGCGAACCCGATTCCCCAATCGATGACGATGGAGCAGTCGTTCCATTGCCCGACCATGAAGAAGAATAGAATTTACGAATAGAAATGACCCGCCTGAAGAGAAACAAAGCGGTGTGGGCCGATGGATTAGCGGCCGAGCTATTTAAACACGACGGCAAGGAACTGATAAAGACCATGCATCAGCTTCTTTGAGGACATGGTGGGACGAAAGCATGCCCAACGATTGGAATTAAAGTGTGTTCTGCTCAATCCACAAAAAGGGAGACCCCCTAATCTGCGTCAACTAACGTGGGATAAGCTTGAAATAGTAAAGCTCACCGTTAACAAACTGATTGAATCTTATCGGTATGCCTTTAAGTTTGGACAATCTACAACTCACCAGATATTCACTACGTGCTAAATCTTGGAAAAAAGCCGTGAAAAGAGAATCGACACACACAGCATCTTCGCCGATTCTGAGGCTGCTTTTGACAGCACGAAAAGGAGCTGCATTTATGACGCCATGTCTAAATTTGGTATCCCCGCAAAACGAATGCGGCTGTGTAAACTGACATTGAGCCATACCAAAAGGTCCGCCAGGATCGGGAAGTTACTCGCTCAGCTGTTCGAAATCAAACGAGGTTTCAGACAACGCGACGTTCCATCGAGCGACTTCAATCTAGTCTTGGAGAAAATAAATCGAGATGCAGAACTATATAGAGAAAGTATCATATATACTGACATCATTGGCAACGCTATTGTAAACTCAGCTATAACAGCGTAAGCACGAGTTGCTGATCTGGTTAAGATAATGAAAACAAAACCAGATTCTTGTCAAGTATGTATGTTGGGTAATTATTTTGTTAGTGAAATCGAGTAAAAATGCATTGATCATGAATTTACAGTTGGAAGTTCAAGAATGCGAGACTAATCAGAAGCGAGGAGCTAGATTTCAAGAGCGTTTCTTCAAATAGAACTTACCAATACTTACGTACTCTATAATAATAATTGCGTAGCGGTAATCAAATATAATAACAACCGACCGATAGGTGGTCCAAAACACACGATATGCTGCCTAAAGCCGACTTTGCGCTCGCTCTTCACTTTTAATTCACAGTGATTCATAGCGTAAACGTGCTAAATGGCAATAGTATGTTGTTGCACAATAACACATAATACTTATATTCTGCTACTACATTGTCATATTGCGCAAGCGACTGTTGAACGGCCGCGACAACTCGCCTGATGTTACAAAACAAAGCAAACGAAGCTACAAGCACAACACTACTCACTGCCGAGAAGTGTTAATTTGTCTACGTAACAACTGTGATTGTTATTACTATTATAATATTTATATACAAGCATAAATAAATACAGTGACAGCCACGTAAGTAGGAACAGTAACCGGAAGAACATTGAATTTCGTAAACACAGACTAAATTCATACACTTTTCGGTGTATATTAAACAGGAGAATTCCAATGTTACTTGCTCTCGGGGCATAAATGTTTAGCCGGCAATGAGCTGGCCGACAAACTAGGTCGCTCTGTAGCAGCGTCCAACCCCAGACCATAAAGGAGTGAGTGAAGAGAAAACGGCACTGGGAGCAGGCAGCCGGAAGGCGCAATGCTAAGCTACTACTGGGAGGTTACAGCCTTGCAAGGTTTAGAGGTTTGATCAACCTCTGGGACAAACTCTGTCTCCTTGTCGCGCTCTGAGTGGCTTCAGGAGCCTGTTTCGAAGGCGATAATAAAGATTTCTATCAAAATATATGAAACTGTAGTTTTTTCTCGTCGAGGCTAAATTTGATGGTGTGTGATCTAAGCACATATATTTGTGTAATAAGATTGATCTAACAATGAAAGTTGGATTTAGTTATAAGAATAAAATTCTTTCTTATTCCTTCTTTTTTTAAGTGATTCCTAGAGAGCAGCGGATACCTAACCGATATGGACGTGAATTGTGTTCTTACAAGGACTGTGACACCACAAAAGACTGCTTTAAAAATATATGGGAATCAACTGAAATTTATATTGGAAAAAAGTTGGGAGAGTACGTTAAGTTACAACCACAAAAACTCTCTGTGGCTCTCTTTTTTTTTTTAACTCAATTCTACTAGTGTAAAGCTACCTGCGCCTACAAACCAGTATTTATCATTCTTTTCTTATTGTTTAAGGCAAATGTACTAATTTTATGCACAACGTTGTCTATACTCATACATTTATTTGTCGGCAAGTAAGCCCGCGTTTGTTAGGAAGACAGCGCTTAAATGTTTGTATGAAGTGTATAATATTTCTCAAAATCTTTTTGAGCTTTAGCGCTGTTCTAATGAATCACAATTGACAAGTGCATGAGTACATGGAACGATCGTAAAAACATCAGTGTAATTTATTTTGTCGTGAAGCCGACAGTGTTAAAATTGAGTTAACCTAGGTCATAGTAGGGAAGTCACAGCACAAAACTAAATAATGTCAGATCAAGGCATAATTTTGGTGACTGGACTACTATGAGTAAAAAGTAGTTACGACTTTATTCATAGTTTTAAAATTCTTAATTTATTCTTCAAAATCTATGACTACCCCCTCAAAATAATCCCTCTTGGCCGCAATACACTTATGCTTGTACTTGAATAATAATAATCCTCAACATAACCTTGATTTTTAACCTGCTTTGACGAGGTTATTTCGGCTTCGGCTCAACTCTGCTGTCTGTTTCTGGATCATAAGCATATATCCAAGACTCATGGCCAGTAAGAATACGTTTCATGACATCCTGGTAGTCGGAACGCATTATTTCACAGACGTTTATATGAAGCTGTTTTTCGAAAAAATTTTTGTTGATTTTGGAACCAATCGTTCTTTCACTTTCTTTAGGCCCAAATAATCTTTCAAACGGTTTCTTTCCGACCCTTCCGGCATTACAACGATGCCCGCCAGATGTCTGACTGTTAATCGTCCGTTCTCAAGCACCGATTTCTTCACTTTATTGACGTATTGATCATCAGTTGATGTTAGAGGCCATCCTGGCGTCGTCAACGTTCGAGAACGAGCCTTTTTGAAAAATTTGTGTCTATCAAAAACACTGGCCCGGGACAAACTGTTAGAAAAAAAAAATTTACGACGAATGGATTTTTGCACGAAATTTAAATTAACAAATCTTACTATTTTTTGCCCACATAATGTGGTCTCACGACAGATGCCAGCTTTCCTAGAGCGAGCTTTCTACAAAAATCGTTGACCATTGTTTTATGCCGCTACAAGAAATGCCGTAAAGAAAACAACAAATTGGAGAGACTAGATTTATTGCGAGCAATTTGATAGCACCAATGCATACCAAAGAGATTAACGGAAGGTTAATAATAATTTTAATCGCTTAAGTTTACAACAACAATTAAATTTATGACTGCTTTAAATTGGAAAATAATTTAATTGCATGAAGGCAAAGTATCAATGGCTTTATTCTAATAATATTATTGAACAGGATTGCCAT